CCTTTTTCACAAAGGGGGATGAAACGAAGAAATAACTTCGACATTGGACCGAGATTCGATGCGAGTGTTCGTCTCTCTCTCTCTCTCTTTCTCTTTCTTCTGACAAAAGACGTGGGAAACAGAGGAGTGACGGATGAAGAGAGGAGACGATCCGGTGATCCGGCGAACGCAGAGCGCGAGAAACGTAGGATAGAAACGAGGGCCGGCTTTCCGCGGCGGTGTCTCGAAGGCAGAGCGGGGTCTCTGCTTCCGACTGCAGATACATTGCGACATGGAACCGGGGGTTAGTGTAGGGGGTTTCGTGGTGGCGCGAGAGGGGCGAAGGGACCCGGCGACGGGGGTGGTGGGTCGGCCGAGGCTCGAAAGGGGGATGAAATGCGCCGCGACGCGCTGCGGCGAAGCCAGACGGAGACGGGCTGAGTTTCTGCTCCGCATCCGCAGCATCCTCCCTCTCTATTCACTCTGTCCTTTCTCTATTTCTGTCCCCTTTCCCTCTCTCTCTCTCACCTTTCTTCGTAACCGGTTCTAGCTTCTTCGTCTCATGATTCAGTTCACCCTCCTCTCTTACACCAACGTTCCTTTCCCTCCCTTCCACCCGGTTAACTTTCACCCCCGTCCTCTACGCTTCTCTCCGTTCCTCTTCTTCCGCGTTTAGCGTGCCTCCCTCTTGTAACGCGGCCGGCGTTTCGCTCTCACCTTCGTCCCTTTCGATCCGTCTCTCTTTCCGTTTCGCCTGTTTCTGCCTTTCTCCACGGGTTCACCCTCTCTCTGCCACCTCCGCCCCGCGAATTCAAACCGCCGCGGTCCAGTCGAGTGTCGGCCCGTGTACCGAGTAGTTCGCCTCGTGGCTCGTTCGCACGACGGCTGCGTGCCGATCGAATCATCCCCCTGTTCGGCTGGTAGGAGAGACGCGCGCGATCCGCAAGCCGGCCTCTCTTGCGAGAGACACGTCTAGATCACTTTTCGCTAGGCAGGATCGAAGAAGAGACAAAGAGTTGGGGTGGAGATCCTATCGGCCGACTGGAGGTAGAGGGCGAGTGGCCGAGACCCTCGGTACAGAAGCCAGCAATCGGAATCCACGTGGTGTTGGCGTGAAAGGTAGAAGGGATACTTTTACCTCAAGGGAAGGGTGGAACGAGTTCAAAGGTCTAAAGGTTATTGAAGGTTCATCTAATATGGTCACACGTTTCCCCTCTGAGTACAGGGAACGATGTCCATGGTAGATTATTCGACTGTGACGTTCCTAAGGGTGGTTTATATATCGTTACGTTCGCGATCGAGGGAACAAAATTTCGTGGATGTTGTATCTTGATTTAATTTCACTGGGAACGACGATTTTCCAGTTTTTCGAGTAAAATGTATGATCGTAACAAGTATTAGATATCCGTGTTTCCAACGGTAAAATAAAATACAGTTAAAAAAAAAAAAAATGAAACAGAGACGAAATATTTTATTCATCTTTGCGTTTCGTGCTTGCAGTGCTTTTGTTGAATATCCTTTGAGATTGAATTTTTTTTTTTAACGTATCAACTAATTTTTCAATTCGGGATATTCCCCTAATTACCATGAACAGACAAATAAGCAGACCTAGTTTACGCTATTCTCAGCAAGTCGAGAGGAGAAGCATCTCAGCTTATTAAGCTCTAGTCTCTTCAACCTTTCCACCCCGCAATCCCTCCCAAAACACGGAAAGAAGAGAAAATAGAAAAGCTCTATCTACGAATCTTCTTCCCTGCAGTGAAACTCTGTTTCTTCGATTTCTTTTACTCCTTTCTGGAGTTTCGTCACGTAACGCGCGAAAGAGAATGCTTCTGAGAGAGAACCGGAAGTAGACCCTTCCGCAACCCTTCGACATATTACAAACACGCGTCCATTGGCTTAGCATTCTTCGTATTCCGGTCAGACGCGATCGAAATTCGCTTGCGTGCACTTTGATTGAAAATCAGCTATCCACGTCCACGTGCCACGAATTCTAAATAGTAACAAGCACTTAACTAGCTTCTGCGAGTCACTTTGAATTCCGAGCGCATTTGTTTCGCGCGACACTGACTTCAAGCGACATTTACTGGCGCGAAAAAATCCACGCCGTTGAACTTTTCTGTCATGAATCAACGATTAAAATTCCCCGAATCTTCTGTGGAGCGCGTGAATCGCTCATTTGCTAAATCGTTTAACTAATCCGTGAAACGGAAGATAGAAAATTTGATAAAAATTGTATACGTTTAATTATTAAAATTCCTTTTAAAATTTAAACTGAAATAAACATTGTAAAATGCATTATTACCATGGCTTTTATCTAGTGGTTAAACTACGGATTTTTATGCATCTACAGGAAATTTAGAGATTTACAATGCATGTAAATACATGAAAATTTAAATTTGTATAAACATCCGCAGTCTACTAATGACACACAAAATCATATATTCTCGAAATAATTGCATTGGCTTTTGAAATAAATCATTTATTATTCTACAGTCGAAAACATATTTATCGTTTAATGATATTAAGCCTAATTTATTATTTTAAATATAAAAAGTATAAATCAAGTGCCTTGGCACTGGAGTCTAAAAATATTTAAAAACTGGGGCTGACCACTTCAGCCTCTAAAGTGCTCATCATTATGTACGGAACACCCTTTTTTATTCGATCCTTTATTTTTTATATTTGAATCATTTGGAAGCTATGCTGATTAATTTCACAAGTTAAAAAATAGAAAGGACCGACAATACTGCGAATACAATTTTTTTAAAATTTATTTCGATAGATTCTAAGGTGGAGGTGTCTTTTCAGGCGCGTTGCACGAATTCTATTTCTGGTGGAATGCAAGCCGGCCAAAGAATCAGAGGTCGCGCATTATGGGTAACAGAGCGAGGAATGTTTCCTCGTATTGCCGGTTTTTCGCTGGCTGAAGCAGAATCGAGCCGGTTGTTTCACGTTTGTTTCCGCGAGCAACGATAAATTACCGAAGTTAATGACTATCGCCATCTAGGAAGTGTGCGCGATTCAATGGAGGTTAATCGATCGGCATCGCATATGAATGAACTAAATCGCGTCAAGCTTGGTTCCCTCGTCACAAAAGAATTCAATTATAAGCTCTCCAACGACCATTCCGACAATAACCGGTCTGTTCTCCAATACCGTGTTCCTAACCTCTTTTTCGTTCTCGCCAGCATTAACCAAATTAAAATTTCCCGCTCCCGGTCGTTGAACGGTCTTTAACCTCTTGATGACGTGCCACGCACGTCGAGAATATTTGGTCCAAATATTTGCAATATTTTCTCAGTTTCAAGTATATTGAAATATAATCCAGGCAAAACAAATAATAAATTTATCACTCCTTAGTCATTTCTATCCAGTGATAGACCGATGAATTCAAAAAGAAGACGAGTTATTGTATACAGTTTGGTCACTCATTATGGTCCGTGAACCAGTTACTAGCGCGTATAAAGCTTCATTTCTTTCCCTGCTTTTTGTTATTCTTTTCCTTCGAGAGTTAATTTCGTGAGAAATTAGGATTTATCGATTTTGCACTATAGTGCAAGTCCATACGTATTTATGCATCGCCCATGAACGAGATTTATCGAGATCGATCGAAGTGTTGAGATTATCGAGATTATCGAGATGTTGAAGTTTATGTTTCAAAATCCAAGTTCTGATAAATATACGTAACTAATTGTACATAAAGTAGATTGTACACATAATTCATTACTTTATAAAAACACATTCTACACGCTATTCACGATTCGAAGCGCGTCGTTGATTAATGTTTTAATTTACGTTACCACGTTATATCTTCTACGCTTTACAATTATGGGAGACGTTTCATCTCTTACATCTCGTCGGTGGCACGAGAAACCCCCGTGATGTTTCAGCAATAACGATTCGTTACTGTTGAAGCGAATAACCAGTATCGTAAATTACACGTTCAGTCACATTGTCGTAGGCGACCGGCGCGTGCGCCTTGCAGCTTTATTTATTGTCGCGACAAAAGCTTCTAAATTCAAAAATAATTAACCGCGCGGGGATTTGTATCCCGTTCACTCTGAACGTTCGCGATTGTGTTCGTTAATTTCTCGCTTCAACTTCATTCCGCTTGGATGGGCAAGGGGAAACTATCGGGAAGGGGGGAGGGAGGGATTGAAACAAAGAACGCGGCATCGTTTGTCACTTGAAACTCATCACTCATACCTGGTGCGTTAACCAATGAAGGCCATTGTGCAGTTTGTAGAAAGTAGAGTGCGGTATTAACGTTCAGCCAAGCGTGTCCCAAGAGCGTTTCGGTTAATGGGTTAATTCATCGAAATCCATAGGGAGCTGCTAACAGCATTAATTAATACACTTCTCGGTTTTATTAACGTCATTAGTTCCATTGTTGGTCGCCGATATCGCAGCTGCGCGCGTTCATTATGGCGGCGTGTAACGAGCGGGAAATGCGCGGCAAAGTTATCACGATCCCGGGGCGAGTGTACTGTAATTTCTCGCGTGGTCTTCGCGAATATAAACGGCGATAAAGTCGCGAGATCGGCTCGAGGGTACTGCAACGAAGAGGCACTCGATTTAAGCACCGTACACCGGTGCCAGCGAAAAAGAAAACGCAACACCGACAATTTACCGCAGCAGCTTATTGCTTCCGTTTCCGATAACCGCGCGGACACGGTGATTTTCTTGACGACCGTGCAACTACCATTGCTCACGAGTTACCCGACGATTATCACCGATTATTTGCATAAATAAAGGTGCACTGATATAGATACGGCAACGTAAAAGTAGGTGGTAAGTGGCTCAGTTTCGTATCGCTTGTGAAAAATCTCAACACCCGGCACGCGAGACGCGCCACCTTACTTCCCGCGAAATGTGCGATGCACTTGATCGACGATCATTAGCTATTTGTGTCGATATTTATTGAACTGGTGGCGCCTCCTCTCAGCTCGCCAAAAGAAGTTCGGAATTCATGAAAATGGAAAAAGGGGGCGTGATGCGGGACCCTTTACTCGCTAATAAGTTTGTAATCTATTAACGAGCTCAATGATCGGAGGTTGTCGCTGATTTTGGCCGGTTTCGAACGTAACGAAGAACCAGGAACGTTGATCACGTAACGATTTACATAGATAGTTTATCGCGACGGACGTTGCTTATCTAACGAGAGAGATATTGTGAAGCTTTTAATTAAAATATTAATCGACGACACACCGACTAACGTTGTATGTATATACGTACTTATACATGTTCGTGTACATTGAAGCTCCAAAGTCATTAAAGCAATGAATTGTGTACTTCCAGAATCTTCGTAATTTCGAATTATGTGTACTATGCATAAAAGAAGAAACAATTGTGAACTGATTTTGTACGGTTCTGAAGGATGTCTTGAGATTCGTATCTTTTTGCGTAATGTACGTTTTAAAATAACCTCTTAAATTACCTTTGATGGATTTCACAATTTTAACGTGATCCTGTTCATCTACGATGATGCGAATGAACCGTATGTTTTCAGCACGTTAATTTCGTCACGAAACTATTAGTTCCGTATCGATGTATCCGATCGATGCGACAATCGATGCGAGCCGCCATTTTCCCGCGCTTTCGTAGTGAACAGAATCGCGACATTCGCGTGACTAAAAATAAATGACCGGGAAATGTGAAGTATCGCTCCTTACCTGTATTTATGTGTCTGTTGCGAAGGTAAAGCTCGCGGTGCCGCCAGTAGAAAGAAAACCACGTCCACAAAGGGAAGAAGCCGGTTATTTCGGTGCTAATTAAGTGACGACGTCCGCGCGTACACGGCCATCAGGAGCGGTGCCTAATTGGCACGGGAGCAACAACGGACATCCTTAATTGGTTAATTTGCGAAGAGGCTCGGCAACCGATGCATCACGACACGCTCGACTATTGCAGGATGCAGTTGCCCCTGGCCATCTCGGGATAATCGTCCTGACGTTCTCTCTCGTTTCGTTGAATCGGGGCCGAATTCGCTGAGCCACAAGGACTACGATACCGCCTTAACGATATTTCGAACAACCTTCCTTCTCTTCTATGACAAGTTCCTGCAGTACGTGACCAAATTCGCAACTATGACTAGCGGGCAGCGGAACAAGTCCGTGGTACATCCAGAACAACGGTACGCGTACATGCCGTGTCCGCTCTACGACACCGGTGAGTTGATTTTTCGCCCTGTTTTCACTATTTTCTTTCTGTGATAATATAACTTGGCTTCTTTATGTTGTTCGACACGTTGACTGCCACGATGATGATCGATGATCAATATAAATACTAATTTATCAAATATTTCATGTAACATACAATATTATGTTTATAGGTTGGTACTTGTGAAGTGTCGTTTATTTGAGGTTAGAATTTGACGAACCACTACTACTTATTGGCCTTTGACTTATTGTTGATTAACAACTGTATCAAGGAACAGGAAATTTACCATAGTCAACGTGTTGAAATTATTCAGTATACTATTTATCACTCTAAAGATCATGGCAGTCAAAGTGTTAGGTGTAACTACACGTTCATTTCCCTTGCTCTGAACAATGAATCAGGAAACTTCGTAGTTTGAATCGCGGTGAATTTCAAACGAAACAGTGTCCAGTTTGTGTCGAACTCTCCTTTGTTCGAAACAAGAGAAAATCGCGCGGTTAATACCTTAAGTGTGCTACAAAGTAGCGAGATGTTAAGAAATACTTCCGGCCTCTCTCCGTTTCCGTAGGCTTCTTATGATTGCCGTTCCACTTACTTGTTATTTGTCATTGGAATGCAAACAGAGGGAGAGACCGCGTATTCTATAAGATCTCCCCGTCGATTCGTGAAAGTTGCCGGCCAGGAGTTGGTAATAAAGGAAATTGGATTCCTATAGCAGGCGAATAAAGTTTCAGAACGGCCGAATCAGAACGAAACACTTCGGCCTGGCTGGCTTTGCCGCGAGATCCTCCAGTTACTTTGTATCTAAATGTCGCCCGGCTTAACAAAGACCGACTAATAAATAAGCTTCTTCACCGAACTTTTAAATAGACCGCCGTTCTTCGCGGCGTTCGTTTGCCACGAGAATGATCATTGGATCTTTCTTGTCGGCGGGCAAAAGAAACAGGAAAGGTGCTAGCAGAGAATAATAATATCTAGGGGAAAAAAGTTCAGAATGGGATAAGAAGTTGAGGAGAAAGAAATTATTGAATTGGACGAAAAGTTTCAGCTTCTTTTAATAGCTAGCAATGATGCGCTGTTAATAATTACTTTTGCGATCTCGTAACGAGATTGCGGATTGTATTTACCAAACAAATAGACTCTCGATAAATTGTTTTACTTGTTAAATGTTGTATACCTTGGATATTTTATCTATTTTCTACGAGTGCATAAAAATCCGCTAATCATAACATTATCATTTATTCAGGATATAAAGTAATAAAGTTATTCTAACGTTGCGTTCAAGATTATTTAACATGGCGAACTATTTTTTATTTCACAAAAAGAATTAAAAGATTCGTGCGACGTGAGATATTGTTTATTATGTCTAAACCGCGCATTCTTGTGCATGTATGGAAAATTGCAAGGTGGGAAAATGCACGAAAAGCACATGCAATGTGCAAACATGTGTAAAATATCCAAAACGTGGCACACGTTCCGCCTAGATTCTATTTTTTTTTAATTATGTTCCTAAAAATATGTATCTGCTTAAATATCCGCGGTGTAATTAAATAGTAACTAAAGCGATATATAAGTACGAAAAGAGAACCTTCCACTCCAATGGTCAATAATTATTTCTCATCATTTTCTAAGCTAAGGTCGTGAAATTTATCTGCTCGTGCGTGATACACTACTGGACACTAAGCCGTCTAACGCAATTTACGATCCTGCATAAATTACGCGATTAGCTCGTGGTTTACCGTTGCTATCAATATTTATTAAATCGTTCCTCTGCATTTTAAAGTGAGCACTTCTGCAACGTTACTCTTATACGCACGGCTCATTTGAATAACAAAACTGCGAAGTTTCCTAATTAAGTGCGCCACTCGCACAGTTTTTCTTTCATTCGTAAGGATACTCTTGTTACGTAATTATCAGCACGGGATTAATTCCGATTGAAGCAAGCCGAGGTGCATTTATGCATTTTTATACGCGAATGCGGAATTAGGCGATGAAACTTGTAAAGCAAATTTCGAACAATTGAGTGTAGTTGAGCGATTAATTTTCACTTTTCGCATTTAGAGCAAACTTTTTATGCTATAAAAAAATTATCTTACGTAACAAGTTCCTTAAGAAAGAGAACAATAAAATTTCTTTCTTTTCAGAGATCTCTATGGTATTAGGTTGGTACGAATGTTGTTTATCATTTTTGTTATTTAGAAAAATTCTTTCAAGATGATTCGTAACATCTTCATTCCAAGAATCTTTCGATTGTACAATAATGAGACTGAATTGGATAAAATCACGTGGATCATTGTTACGATTAAATACACAATGTTAGGAGGAAACTCTATGTTTCCTAAGTCTGAGCCAACCTAATAGAATATCTCCTCGAACGTCTTGAATGTTACATTTGCGTTTTATTTCGGAGTGTTTCCTCTTAGAGAGAAAATTGTTGCATACGGGATAGATCTATCCTCGGTAGGTCAATTACCCTTGGAAATTAATTATAACGACGAACAATCTCAACCCTGGCTGCTCGTGATCCATCAGCGCGAAGTCGAACACGTCGCCCGATTGCAAATTCGACCGAAACTTTGCTTGAAACGTGATCGAATAAGTGACACGACCTGACCGTAGAACAGCGACGATATTCAGTGTCAAAACTAGTCGTTAAAGTTCACCATGTATGATGAACGAGCCCACAGTGTAGAATCCGGATTTACGATGTCTCCCAAGAGGCTGGCAAAGAAAAGTAGTGGCTTCGTGTCGTCTCGTTAATTACCGTTCTCGTGTTCTTAAAAAAAAATAGCAGCTCTGTACGAAAGATAATAATCTCTTGACCAACGACGTAGCTCATTTTAATTGGGTTAGATTAGATTAGATCATCTCGTTCGTCGTTATTACCGTGTTATTAAAAAATGCTGCTAACATAGATCGATGCGATAGTTGATGATGGATGAAAATCTTTCGATCAGCGACTCAACTTATTAGCACGTTTTAATCTTCCTCGCCGGTTTTAGATTGAAGTTAGATTAGATCAGATCAGATCTTCGTATCGTCGTAATTATCATTACCGTGTTATTAAAAGATGCTGGCAGTGTAGATCGATGATAGATAAAAGAAAATCTCGTTAGCGCATTTTCTTTCTGGCTAGGTTCTGGTTAGACCTCCATACTGTTTCGTTCATTGTTATTACCACGTTGTTGAAAACTACTGGCTGCTAACGTTGATGATAAATGAAAATCTTTCGATCAATGATACAATTCATTACTACGTTTCGCTCTTTCTCTCGCTGTTTGATGAATTTTTGGTGTTGATCGGATAATGTGCCATGACTAGTTATAGTTTGCCGCATTTGATTACATCGATGGAATAACGGAGCGTTTATACCTCATTGTTCCCTATTCTCTGGTATCCGTTAAGTTAACACACTGTTCACACAGAATCGTTGGAGTAAACTTAAACCAAATCCAAAGATACACGCTTGATCGATGCGCGGTCAGCCACAGAAAGGGACCACCGTCTCGTTTCAATCGAATAGATTCCCTCGATTTATGGAACATCCGATTTTGCACGCCTGGCTCCCAGTTAGATATCAAACTGATATCCAACAAACCTATCATTCTAATACTTAACTTATTATTATACTAAAATTTATTATTCAATCTTGATCTTCAGGTATCGAAACTTGTACAATTATTACAGACCGCTAATATTTATTTTGTTTATGCATTCGTAGGAAATTATGCAGAATGTACGTAAAGTTTCTGCAATATAAATAAATAAGTATTTAAATATTAATATAATATTTATATTTATTTATATAAATATTTAAATATTAATATAATATTTATATTTATTTATATAAATATTTAAATGTTTCAATATTCAGTGTGTAGTTGTTATACATGTCAGATTCAATTGTCCTTGCTTCATGTATTAATAATAAAGAATTTCACGCGTAATTGAATATAAAATAAAGAAACGAGATGAACAAAAGTTACACAAGGATGCTAAGTTACAAGGATTACCGAGGAAAATTCGTGTTAATTAACTGACTAACTGCTAGTCGTTCAAATGATCATTAATATTGCTGTCAACGTTCTTTTATAAAAGTTTCGCTGCCTCGCGAGCGACAATCTACGAAAATCCGGGCCGATATTAGAAAATATCAGCAGAGGTCTAATATGAATTTTCCAGAGGTCTCCGGCGGGGATGAAGTTGATAAAGTTGAATAATGTCGGAGATTAGGGGTAGAGGTCGGCGCAGTTTCAGCTTGTTATTCGGCGAGTTTCCCTCCGAAGGGAGCCAAGTGTGTCGCGATGCTGGGCGATTTAGAACGATTCACGTCGCTTCATGTTTCATTCACCGTCCGTTTCATTATGCATCGGCGGTGGTTAGCGGGGCCACGTGTTTCCGAATTAATTGCAATTTCCGTCGCCTCGTGACACAACCGTGGCCAACACCGTGACGAATGAAAGCGTGTCCCGCGAGTCTCATCTTTCTTAAGTTGCTCTATCATCTCTTGTATTAATTTGACGCGTATCTTCTGTTTTCTTTAGTATTATCTCCACGGCACGTAGATACATTTCACTGAGGCTGCGTGACATTTATTTCTCTAACGTATTAACATACATTTCCTTTGGATCTTTGACTAATCTGTAGATGGCATTAGATCGTTACAGTATACTTGTATACTTTTCATATGTATTTCATACTTTTCGAACTCGTATGTTTTTTTCATATGTTACTGTCCCTATATTGTGCAATGAATGTAGCGTACAACTGTGATTACAATCGCTAATTTTATTCTTGTTTATCGGCATTCAATGTGCCACGGTTATTTAACAACGTAATTATATTAATTGTTTTTTCCACCATCGTATCAATTTGGAGGATTAACCACAGGAGGAAAGCGTGAGGCGGATGAGAATTAATCCTTCGTAACACAGCGTGACACAGAAACCGCGTACCTGTCTGGTTCATTTTTATTTTTATCTTTTCATTCGTCAGCAGAGAAAAACGTGCGAGATAAATGTTACTCGTGTCTTTGCAGGCAGGTGTATCAGCTTTAAATTTTCTTGTACGCGTCGTTGCAACTTTTTTTTCTGCAAGCAACCAAAATTCCGGTTAGAGAGAGAGAGAGAGAGAGAAAGAGAGAGAGAGAGAGAGAGAGAGAGAGAGAGAGAAAGAGAGAAAGAGATAAAAAGTCGGATACGACACGTGCATCCGCTTTGTCATCCGGGTTCGTACATTCGAACACGAAATGTAAATGCAGCGTTGCTTTGAAAGTCGATTCGGTGGATCGAAAAGTTGTAGGTTTGGGTTGGATTTAGGGTTTATAGCAATAAATGGGTTTGAGACTGTTGCGAGGTGTTTACGAGTCTTTGGAAGTTATAGTTGCCTCTTGTTTTGAAAGTAAAATAGTCGAATGGAAGTTTATCTAAATGGGGTCTTCTTTACGGCGTTTCAAGAAAGTTTTATAAATGGGGAATAAATTAAGAATGGGAAATCGCGAAAAGCAATCGACGTTAGAAGCATTCTCCGAAGCAAACTTCGAGAATCGATTAAAATTTATTTTAAAAATTTATTTTAAAAAAATTAGATATTAATAAATACGACAAACATTTTTATTTTACAAAATATATATATATATATATTAAAATAAATTAATTAACCCTGATACAAAAGGTACAAAATAAATTTTACTTATTTATTTTAAGTCTCTTCGAGCATGCAAAGTTCATAATAATTCTTCTCGCGAAGGAATGAAATTTTTTGAGTAAGGTATAAGTAATTTTGAAGTAAGATATTTATTACACAAGTCTCGAGAGATCTGTGTGTTTTATTTCTCTCTCTTTTTGCGAAATCGCAGATTGATAGAATCTCTTCACAGTAACGTAGATTGCATGTACACGATTGCAGCTGAAGAGAAATTAATTTCTATGGCTTATTTATTTCGGAAAATGCGCAGGAGTTTTAGAAA